CATATACCGCACCATGCCTACTTTTCGTAAAAGCTTGCAATTATTGACTTTGTTGTCGTCAGATGGCGACACATAGTGACGAAGGACTAAAGTTTGTTAAAGTTGCAGTTGACGAATGAGTTTGGGCTGTCCTCAAGTCCGTTAGTAGTAGATTCACTTTATTATTCGAACAATCTTGAAGGAGCGAAGCACATAAGGCTGCTATTAACAAGCAACGAGGCTTCAACGCAACTGTCTGGCACTGCTACAACCCAATCGTAAGCGTGATTGCGGGTCTATTGCATTTGCACACTGACTTGCCTTAAACGCTTAAGAAATTCCAGCCATTCCTCGCATAAAAGCTCAATTAATTCGCTTTCTTTATTGCCGCTTGGAGTAGAATTCCTGGCCGTTATTTGTATAACCATTACAGGCTTTATTCGATGCCGAGATTTTGGGCTAAGCGATAGTCGAGAGAAAGAGATTAACAAATGAAGCTGCTAAACGTGATAGCAATAAACGTAGGCGTAAAATTTCGACATCTCGTTGAAAGGCATTTTCACGCTCTGTGTGCAAAGCGAGTGACTAAATGAACTTACCTACGATATCATGGCTGTTTCAGTTTTGCTGCGTGTTGCCATACAAGATTACTAGATCAGATCGCATTGTTGGGCCTGTTGAGGATTCCAAAATGTCTAGACCGATTGCGCCGTTAAATCATTTGAAAAACTTAAACTGGTTGCGGTGTTTCTGATTAGCATTTCTGGATCTTATAAGAGTAGTGTATCTGCGTTCCTTGACGGTGAGTGGAAAAAAATGTACATACATATTTTGTTCGTATAAAATTACTTAATTCGTTTGTCATACAAAATGTATTTCCTCGAATCTCGCGTCGAAGTCGTAAACACTGATGGAAATGCAAATAAAAGAATTGCTTAAATTCCGCTTAATGCGTTTGGGGGGCGAGTATATATATATATAAACAACAACAATTGCAAAAAGCGAATATAAACAGTAGTGGTAGTCGTCAGAGAATTATAATAGACAGTAGAGAATAGAGAGACAATGAAAAAGACAAAAGTATATGATAATAAAAAATAAAACTCATATCTCGTGCATTATTTGAGCAATTAGCTATAATGAGAAAGCAACAGCAACAGCAACAGCAACGAGAGCGACAACAATAACAACAAGTGCGATATTTATGCAGATATGAAAAAACGAAAATCTTTCTTGTGCAGAGGTTTAAACACTTGCCAAAATACAAACATATCGCTATTGTATAGGAATAAAACAAGCGTCAGGCTGATCGGCCGTTAAGTTTCATTATGTCATTCATAAGACCGACAAACCAAGTAATCAGGCAACCAGTTAGTCAATAGCAGCAGCAGAAGCAAAAACAAAAACAACAACAACAACAACAAAAATAATAATAATAATACCTTCTTTATTACAAGATGCAGATGCTATTTTATGGGAAGCATCAAAATAAGTTAATGAGTAACAACAACAAGCGCACGAAGCTGAACAAACCAGCAAAGTGCCGTACTGGGTAAATTTAAGACTTACTGTCAAGCAGACAAAAGGGCGTATATGTGTGTTGGCTCTTGCAAGGAAACCCCAAGTTTACGATGACGGTGTATGTCGTGATGGTTGAAAAACAAAAAAAACAAAAAAAAACAAAAAAAACAAAAAAAAGAAACAAAAACAGTTCCGTCATTCCTCTTTCTTGTTGTTGTTTCTCATTTATATTCTTTTCTTTTTTTGTTGTTGCTCATCAAAAGTCTTCTGAGAAATCTGTGAAATTGTTTAAATAAAAGCAAAAACAAGTAAAATGTGAAATTGTTTTCTGTGGGGGGAACGACAGACAACGACGTGTGTTTGGTTTATGAGCTTTTTATGTGTGTATATGTGTTGGACACTGTGTGTGTCTACACTTTATTAAACACATTAAAGCCGACTTGAGAATATTTAAAGCAACAGGAATGTCAACTGATATGTTTTCTTTTTTGTTTAATCATTCACGTTTTGTTTGTCCATTCATGCATCCATCCAACAAATATTATCATCTATCTGTCCATCTATACTGTACATGTCGGTACATCATCACATCACATCTGTGCGTTCATTCTCTACATAGCTCTGAGCAGCTCATACTGTTTGTTTGCTTTCAGTAGCGCAGTTTATCTTATGGATGTGTGCAAGTATAAATATGTATATGTATGACGAGATCAACTTGCCTAAAGGCCAACTCATAGTTAAGTTGGTATTGACCAAGAAAGTAAATACGACTTATGAAAGCATAAATATAGCTATTCATCCACTCATTCCTTTATGGATACATATACACAATAAAATAAAACATTTGAAAATTTAAATTTAAACTGATTTAAAAGTGATATCGAGTAATACCGGTTATACAAGTTGTATTAACCGCACACACACATACATATACACACGAACAAAAGCGCATTTTCTACTTTTTCGCTCTAAATCCTGAAATCGACTGTATCCACTATCCTCCAGGCTTATGAACGTACAACTTAAGATGGACAGACAAAATTTCCTTAGTTACGAATTGTTTTACATTCAATTAAACTAAAACTCATTTTGCTCAACTCATATTGTGTAAAACAATAAGTGAAAATAATTAATTTAAGGACAATCATTAACATATACTCATTATTCCATTTTTTTTGGACTTCTTTTCCCTTTTGTTTCATATTTTTTTAATTTTGCAATTGATCCAAACCGTTTCCATTGTTATATAACGACGATGATGATGGTGACGGTAACGAAAATGAAATTTAAACGAAATATAAACGGAATCATAAAAGACATGTTCACGGAAGGGAGGGTAGATGCCTCGGCTATCTCTTAACGGCCCATATTGCTTGCAATTCACTTGAAATTAATTTCAAAGAAAATTTTATATATTAAAACAATTTAAAATTTAGATCACCTCAAGATTCCGTCTCATTTTAAGCAAATACAGACTTTGCCGACTCATTGTCGAAATTTTCTGCGTTGCAAGAAACTCTCATAGATGGATGCTTGAAAAACGAAATATTTATCTGCACAGTAGAACCGAATATTCATCACTGGGTAATGTGGTTAAGCTTCTCTTTACAACACTTAGAAATCCGCATTGGCGATCTCAAACACCATAGGTGTTCTTGATTTGCAATTCTAAAAATTGACATAGAACGATAGTATTTATATTCTGTAATGGATATATGCAGCAGGGAGCAAATATTTGTAAAGGCCATATTAAGTTTTAATATGCAGTGGCGGCAGCGGTCAACTAACCGTCTTTAAGAAATATTAAAGGTAATCGTAACAAGAGTATTTCCATAGTAGGTTGCGATCAACCATCCACTAATAGCAGAAATACTTTACAATGATTAGTTGTTGGGTTAATGAGCCGAGTACTAGAGATTCGTTATAAAGAGAACATGACGTTTTCATTTGCTTTTTGCTCGTGTAAGATTAATTTTCCATTACGGTATCATTAGACAGATACGATCGAAGTTATATATGTCTTGCACGCTCCAATATTCTAATGATACGTTCAGGAACTATTTGTTCGCCCCAAAAGCATATATTTCCTATTCTATCTGCCGCTACGATCATTTCCTGTCCAAAAATCGATCAAAGCATCTATCTGACTATGGCTGCAGAGTTTAGTGATAAGAAGTAGCGCATGTTCGTATATAAAGTCTGATCATAGATGTCATCAACCAATTGGTTGCAATAGCTGGAACACTGAGAATATTCTGAAGGGTGCATATTTTCAAAATACTTTTATATATATTTTAGTGCACACATAAAGTTCATTTAATACTTGTTTTGAAAATAGTTTCGATCAGTCACTTGATATGTCTACATTGTGTGTTTGCTTAAAAAGCTTAAATTTGTTGCAGGCATTTACCTCAAGCGGATATTGCAAACCCTATCGCTACATTTCTTATTAATCATATTCAATTTCTGTTATCATACTGTAAAGATAGAATAGGTGTTAGAAGACTCTCTTTACGCATTAATGTAGCGCTAAAATGCGTGTGCATGCATACATTTTTGATCAACTGTACAACAATAAGAGTGCATATCTTTGTTAGTGTATTCTCAAAGTGTTCTCTTTTATAACGTTCAAACTTCTAAATGTGTATATGCTTCCATAATATGTTGAAAGTTTGTCAATTCTTGAAAGGAATATAAAAAAATATTAGTTTTGCATAGCACTGCATTTAATTTAATGCTATGTTGATAAGTGTCTGAAATTGAAGTGGTAAAATCAATACTGGAAGAGATATGTTAGCAAGAGTAGAAGAGCGAATCGAGCGAATTGGAAATTGGAATAAAAACAAAAATATACGTTCATCTCTGTTCCGTTACTGGTGTGAACATAAGAGCGAAATACAGCTTTTGATGCTATTGCATTTCTCATATTGCTAAACACACATTTCCATACATTTATAAACACACAGTTCATAATCAGCGACCAAGACTTCCTTGCAATCGCCAGATAGTTAGTTAGTTAGCAGTAAAACTTCGCGGCACAGACACATATGATAATGTGAAGTAAAAATTGTATTCCGTGTATAATTAAAAAAAGGTTTTTTTCTTAGAGTGAAAAGTGAAGAAAAGTGTGTATATATATGTATAGCGTGAATATATATATGTATATAGATATATATATATATATATAAATAAATATGCATGCCTACGAATAGGTAGATACGCATGCATGAGTTTATATATATATATATAGATATATATATATATGTATATATATATATGTACATGCATATGCATATATTTATTGCACTAGAACTGGCTGAAAACCTGAGTTGTGTTCGTTTCCCCTCTCTGCCCGTCGAGATAACATAAGCAAACAAAGAAATATTTAAAAACGAAATAAAAAATTTTTTTTTATATTAACTAAATAGAATTTAAATAAAACGTACTTTGTATTAAAGGAAAAATGAAAATGCTTAAATATGTGAGAAAATTAAGTTTAATAAAAATTAAAAATAGTTTCTTCCCGTAAAATAAGTGAGAAAAAAGAAAAAAGTGGAAAAATGGAAAATTTTCGGCTGCTAAAACAGTATATAGAGTGTAAAATTTTTGTGTACCCTTAAAAAACCTTCTGTGCGCGCCGCCCTACGTCCTCTAGAATATGAAATAATTCGCTTAACAGCTATATATTTAATTTCTCACAATGCGTGTTTTTTTTTGAAAAATGAAAGTCAATCAAAAGGAGTTCGTTTGTTCCTGGCCGTCAATGTAAACATGGAATAAAATTTTATTAAAACTGAAGTGAAAAATTGCTAAAAAGAAAAATTGTTTTTTTTTTTTTTGGTCACATTAGCAAAAATTTCTAAAAAACAACAAACGATGAAGTAGGAAGAAAAAAGTTCGATATCTTTGAATTTTATCTAAACCCATTTTACTACTCATACACACTGTTGAAATAATTCTCATAGCATGGTTTAATTGGATCGAAGTTGTGTGTGAATGAGAACACAAAACTACTGAATATTTCTGTATTCTCAGAATTCGAAGGTGCAGGGAATTACAGCGAATTGATTTCAAAGTCAGACTGTGGCAGAGAGAAAAGAAGAAAGAAAGAGAGAGAGAGGGAGAGAATTTCTCCATAATATCGACAAGCGGAGTACAATTTCCAGTTGAAGAGAAGTTGAATTTGCACATCACGTCACATCTTCAGCACCAGAGTACTCTAAACTCATTCGCAACGTTATTATTGTGGCAACACCTCGTTCGCCTGTTTTTCCACTTTCTGATTGTGCATTTGAGAACGTTAACTCACCAGTCGCAAACTTGATTTCCACAAACGGCGGCTAGTGTTCATATAGCTTTGCGTAAGAATTTTCAATTTTTCATTCAACTGAAAATTCTGGCTTTCCTTCCGCTAACGTCTAACACCTTTTGAAGGGAAGAAGCAAAAGAACATCACAATAGCATCATCAAGCCAGTTTTTTTCTTGTTTGTTTTCCTTTTACGATTGTCCTCAGTTCTCGTCATCGTCTTCAGCATAATACCGTCAGCTTTAGTTTTACAACATTAACGCGTTTTTTTCCTGCCTGTATTAATTATTCTTCTATACAATTCTCAATCAAAATTATCGCGCCGTATATCACCCTTTCAATTCAATGGAGCACTACCCCATTAAGGTGAGTAAAAATTTCTAATGTATGTTTGTGTGTCTAACAGTGTTAGCAGTAGCAGTAGTGTACATAAGTGGAATACATTAAAAACTCTCTTTACTAGCCGATTAGTGCATCGGAGTGTACGTACAGAGTGAGCGCGTATGTATGTATGTATGTAAGTTTATATGTATGTATGATGTGTGTGATTGTATTATGAGATGGTTATGTGTTTAATTTTCTTATCGATCAAAAAGTGGGTAAAATTTCATGGCTTTTTTGAGTACACTTTTTTTGTTTTTCATTTTTTTTGTTTTGCTGGCTTGGCAAAAGCACAAACGCGCACATACATTGTACACACATGTAAACACATAAACAGATATAGACGAAAATAAATGGATAAATGCTATTATGCACATTTAATTAGCAAACCATAGACATAGGCATGTATGAGTATATTTTTGATGTCCTTTCAATGGAACCAAGCGCCATTTATGAAATAAAACCTAATAATCCTTAATATAAAAATTACTTTTCGTACTTTTTTTTACGAAATTCGTGTTCGAGCCTGAACATTATTCATGACGATAAACTAACATATTTACAAAAAGCTTGAAAGTTTTGTTTCTTCCTGAGATTATATCGGAGCAGTAACAGTTAGTTGTTCATGGGTTTGGTGAGTTTTCAAAATTTAATGGGCATAATTAAGCTAATAAACACGTATTCGATGTCGTAGTTTCCTACAGTTTTGTGACTGCCAAAGTCCAAACAGAAGGAGGAAGTGATCGAAATAAGTTTTACAATTACTCGGTTGTGAAAAGATCAAAACTCTTTTTCTATTTCTGCAGTTCTCCGATCAAGTTTTTCAAAAATTGATTGTCCTTCAGTACTAGGGTTGGGGCACATAATGACGCTTTCCGATATTGCAGTCGTTACATAACCGAAAAGAATAGACAGCTTCCTTCATGCTCTGTTATGGTCACGGCCAATTTGCCTAACATTCGCGCTGAGCTTGCTTATCGATGAAGCTGTATAGGTGCTACAGCGTTTTTTTCCCTTTCTATACCCTACACCCCTTTTAGTAAAAGGTATATTAGGTTTTTGCGGACGCATGTAACACGCAAAAAGCACTTAAGATAGGCAATGCCTTTTATTATACCGATCGATTCAGAATTATTTTCTAGTAAGTAAAGTGTTAGAGGTCTAATATTCAGTGCACAGTCCCATAATATCAAATTCCTATAAAAACATGGTATTATCTTTGTGTTCTATGGCGAAGATAAGAATTGTGTTAGATAATATGGCGTAGGGTATTTAATAGCGGGCCTAGTTTGATTATAATGTTTGCACTTCTTTGGGTTTTTCAAAGTTCTAATAACGAATAGGCGACGAACAAATACTCGATTAAATTCAAAGCATTATTCCATCCCGTAATTACTTTCTGATAAGCATTTTGGTGTTACATAATTAACATCCGTAGGAAACTGAACGGCAGCCGAGAGGTGGTATCGGAGATTGGAATAGCGAAAAGACGAAGAGCAAATAGTTGATTAAATTCAAAGTATTATTCCACGCTCTGTTTAATCGAATGATTCAGTTACAAAATTTTATTATCGTCCGTTTATTTTTATTATATGTATTATGCATAACTTGTGGAGGTTCCCTCAGTTCTAAATTTGAATCTCGACAAAGGAAATTCTTTAAAGTAAGGAAAAAGCCTTCCACACAAGACGCTTTAGCGCTGGCTCTAGTTGCGACGAATAGATGTACGATTGCGGTCTTTTTTCCTTAGCATTGAAACCATCGGAACATCGACGCTCTTAACATTCGACGGCAATAGAGGGAGCTATGTAGAATTCAAATGTAAATTTTAAGATTTGAAATCAAAAAAATTAACACTAATTTAATTACCAAATACAGATAATCAATTAAATAACCACTAACTTTTTCCCTTAATGGTGTTTGTTCGGGGAAAGATGAGAGAGTCGAAAAGATATTAAATGTGAAGCGTATACATTGATGATGTGAACAAGTGCGTTCTCTGTTTTATCAAATGTGTGCAGTGAACGAATAAATTAAAAGTAGAAACTAAACAAAGGTTTTCATTTTAGTGATATTCTTTTTTTTTATCATTTCCCATTTTAAGCTAACGTAAAAACGAGATATTTATATCCAGGCAACTGGTATCACTTGCATGTAGTAGCAGCACGTCGAATGAAAGCTTGCCGTAGGCGAATACCTATGAGACCGAATGTTTTTGTCTTTGCTCCCAGTGAGCCACAAGACACACAATATGCTTAGCATTACTTTCGCTCTAGTAATTCCGTCCAATATTTGACAATGTCCACCGAGGAGAATTGTCTGCTAGAGTAGAACTTTTTTCAATTGAATAACTTTACAAAGGGGACAAGAGAAAAAGACAGTTTTTATCCTTCCATTCATTTTCCCAATAATAACAACAACAACAACAACGTAATTTGCATTGATTAATTTTTATTTATTTTTATTTATTTATTTATTTTTTTTTGAAGATTTTATAACAACAACTTATAAGTTTGCGTTGCTTATAAAATAAAAGTGTTTTTAGTTATTCATAAATATTTAATAAAGTGAGTGCTTTGGACGAAAGGAATAACTTAAAAATATATTTTGGAATATAACTCTAAATTTATTTATTATTAATTCATAACCATTTTAATATTTATATGAGAATTGTGTTCACCAAATATTCTACAGTAAATTATACATACATTCGCAAACACATACAAACGTACACATGTACAATTATCCCATGTTTCAATATAAATATTTCATATTTATTCAAAATTAAAAATATGAATATTTATGTTGAAGTCATTTTTTTTTTTATGGGGAACATAGCATGGGATGAAGTGAAACAAATAGCGGTAGGAAGAATATATAAAACCCATTAAAAATATTAATTATGATATTTTAGATTTTTTTTTTTTCTCCGACGAATATGAATTAATGTCATATTCATATGACTTATTATTCATTGCTACCTATCTTGCATTGAAATGTTTTTAATTAATTTATTACGTTTACGCAACAGATACATATATATATATTTATTATTATTATAATTAAGGAGAGTGCGCGTACTTTTTTGAAAATTTAAAATTGACTTTATTCTCATCTATCACGTATTGAATGAGCCATCGAGTGACCAAGTCGAAATTAACGCATCCACGTCTCCCATATCCCATACGTTATTCTGTTATTAAGCTCTTTAAATTATACCTCAATATATGCAAGGTATTTCCTCATATATATGCAATATATATGTGATAACGCTCAGAATACTTGCATCTTGTAACTTTTTTTCAATTACGAAAAACCAATATAAGTCCACGAAATGTTACATTATGTGCATTATTGATACGTATTCTTGTTTTCATTTTTTTGAATATTTGTAGAGAAGATTTATTAGCCAATCGAGCATTAATTCTTATTCCTATAAAGTCGACAGAAATTCTCGGGAAACTTTAGTTTTTCAAAACAAGAGCGATCACTGCTTCACTGCTTTCCGGACTTGCATAATTCTTGTCCGATGACGAACTTGTGCACACCGCCATGTTTTGTTAGGTAAACAACTAATATCGGACGCACTTCCTGGAATTCAGCTTCCCGGAAGTTCGGGCCACAATTAAGTGAATCAACTCAGCAATTCACTAGTGGCTCTGCATGGGCATTGAAGTGACGTTCACTAGGTGATTACAGTTTTTTTGACCGAGACGGTACACTCAACTCAACAAAACGAAATAGCGTCTGTCTGACAAAATTTTCTGAGTGAATATACTGTAAAAAATTGGAAAATTTTCCGCTGAATATGTCAGATTCATGGCCTATATGACAATACATATTGCATATAACAGATCCTAGCAAATTTTTTTACGAGGATAATAGCCAACGAGTTTGTTCGAATCTTTAAATAAGTCTCGTTACTTGGTAGTGTGAATTTTTTATCCCCTTAAGTGTAATTCCACACTATTAAATAGTAAAAGAATATTTTGGTAAGTTTATGTGATGCGTGAGTTTGTAGAGTGACGCAATGAAACGTTATATCAAACCTGAGTTGAAATCTAATTAATTTAATTACGAGGCGCCGTAATTGCCTTAATGCAAATAGCATTCCTGAAAGATATTTTCACAATAATGTCAACATATGTACTTACCGCTCTACCTTGGGGCTGTGAGTGGCCTTTAAGCATAAGAGAAACGAGCGACGTCTCCGACGACGTTGCTCAACACACAGCCATAGGATCGTAGGATAGAAGGTTTTTCTGTGCAATTTGCAATTTTCACTGTGTTTTCACACGACGAACAGCCGAGATGAACTCAAATTTATTTAGGAAGCGTTCGCACATTTTAAGCGTAACATGTCTTCACTTTTGGGACATTCTACAATGCATCGTAACCAACCGAACAGATTTCGTTTAAAATGAACTTAGATTTCTCTTTGTATGTGCTTCTCCCTTCCCTGCCACAGCCGATTAAGATCGATTTTGAACTTCTTTTGAAAGATAAGGTAATTAACAGTTCCTGAGTTATTTAAAAATGATATGAGAAGAGATTACCAGATGATTAGCAAGAATTGCTGGTTAAAAGATAATTTTTGCTTTAATTCATTGTTTGTTCGCTTGTTATTAATATACTGGTGTCTAGTCAGCATTCAATCTTTCAGTGCTTCTCCATTGAATACAATCGCTCGAAACGAACACCTGTACGACAAGTTTGCGTTGTTGCAGTTCGCAAAGTCTCGCTTGTTTAATATGCAAATGCTGTTGAAAATATACGACATAAATTGAACAAATGTGCAAATGTGTTTGTCCACACGCAAGTACATTTATGGTTAATGGCAATAAAATATTTAATGAATATATCATTGGCATCGGCGTATCCAAACAATAGTATTAATGAATGAAAACTTTTTGCAAAATAACTAAAAGAAGAAAAAAGAAAAAATATGGGAAAAAGAAAGAGAATAAAGTTCACATTATCATATTAATGATAGAATTATAAAATATTCATTGCGCGTAAACAACAATATTTACACCAAAAAAAAAATAAAATATATATATATATATATATATGTATAGGCGGTCAAGGCAAAAAATGGCTATAAACAATTTAACCTAATAACTTATTCACTTATGCAAAACAATTAATAAAATCGGTAGTGGATAAAATGAATACTTTATGAAAATAGATAAAAGAAAAGTCATGTGAAATGAACGTGATAGGTAGCACAGCAAGAGTGAGAAATTTGGCGTGTAAAAAATTATTATAAGTGGGAGATTTCATCCGCTGAATGAGTAGGACGCAGCGTATCAGCCAAGCAGCTAATAGTTAGCTTTAGTTGTTATGTACCCGTGGGACCTTTGGAATGCTTGCTGGACATTAATCTTTGAACGAGCTACACTACTGTATAACTACGGATATTGGACTATAGAGAATTGTAAGCGTGCATGTGTGCGCTTATGTGCAAATTTACAAATAATAACAACACTAAAGTTATATAGGCGAGTGTGTGCCTAAGTTTATATTTAAGAGAAGAAATTGTATATTATAAAAAAGGTAAAAGTATGCTCTGTTACTTGCTAAAAACTTATGAGCATGAACTTATGTACACAGGTGTACTTACCAGGTATGTCTAGTTTCACATTTTTGTATCCTTTCACATAAAATTTGACTCTTTACGTGTTTTATGAGCCCCCGTATATACCTTATGTGTATATCGCATGTGTGTGTGTGTTTATGTGTTTATGTGTTTATGTGTATATTTGTACGTCTACATGGGCGATTTAAGCCAACATTTTATGAGAGCGTTTCACTCAAGACAAAACACATATCCCAACATTCTCCGCAACCCCGTTCCTGTGTGAACGTGTGTTTGCATACCCCGGCCTCTGCGCGGCTACACGTTACATTTTTCGTAACTTTATAAAATATATAAATTGCAGATAAACATGCAAACATAAATTTTCACCCTGTCAGGTGGTCTTTCGGTTCTTGTTGTCGGTGTTGTTGTTTTCACTACGTACTCATAACAACAAAATTTCACAGACCGACCATTGGTTTGCTGTTACCATCACTGTTACCATTTGCTGGACTCGATTTAGTTTTGGTCCCATTTCACAATCATAATACATTGCTTATGTTACGGCTTTGTATTGTGTGTGCTGGCAATTTTTCTTGCTTTTTTTTTTTTTCCAACAATTTTTCATCTTTAGGCCTTTAGGCATCTATATTTATATACACATTTATATGTATGCATATATCTAAACAGAATATATTAAATTATTCATACTCTTTCTTAGGTTATGATGATAGTTTTAACTATATTTCTCCTCTTCATTAATTTTTGATACTTTCCTTCTTTCCCTCTTTCTTTCTTTCTTCATTTTCTTTTTTTTTTTTCTGAATTTCATGTTACGCTTTTGCTAGTGGCCCTTTCGCTTAATCTGCTTTAATATTAAATTGTTAAGTTTCAAATTTTATAAAAGATATCTAATAAATTATAAATGAAATTAAATACCAATTAATTTTCAAAAGATTTACTGAAATGCCTCATTTCTTATATGGCATCTATCACCAGCCATCACCTTTTATAAAAAAATTCTTGTGGGAGGGGGGGATGAAAACTTCTTTAAGAGACTAAATGCGACAAAGAAAAAAAAATTATTTTACATTTGAAAATCTCTTAAATCTATTTCTTTATGACTCGAAATTCTTCACATGATTTATATTTTTCTGCCTTGGAAAAGTTTTGAAATAAAAAAATTACTATAATAAAAATACACATTGTTTTTTTTTATGGAATTTTAAAGTGTTAAATTGAATGTGTTTACATGGTTATGAAGACATTAGTCTCATTATAAATATGAGTGCGTGAGTCTGTTTTTGTTTTTTTTCTATTCTTCAAATCCACATATTTTAAAGGCATATCTCATTTCAAACATTTAAAATTTCGTGAAACAAAGGCGAGGGGTTCCAAACCGTTTCTCGAATAGTCACATAGTGACAAATTTCTTTGGAAAAATATGTTTTTTCTTCCTTCTCTTGTACAAACATGAGGAAAATATCATTTCGGAAATATTGGAAGGTCCATGTACGACAAATCCCGATCGCATATCCAATAAAATGATAATTTTTTTTTTCGATTCACGTATTTGTCGCCCTGTTGGAATAAGAATCGTCTTGACCTAAGTGTAAGTCTAAGAGAGACGAGAGTCAGCTTTACATATATTTTTTTTTGCAATTTTCTTTGGTATGGACGGGTAGCGGTATTAACGCTAAGACATTCCTTTCTTACTACAGTCAGATCAATATGCATTGAAAATAGATGAAGTGTGTTGGTAAGCACGCGGGAAATGAATGTTATCTTGGTTATTTAGATGAATGTGCTTATTTTAATGACTGGCCAGAAACACCAAGTTTCACTTGAGATTTATTATTACATAAAGTAAGAGCACGCTGGTCCGGTTTTAGTTAATCATACTCACACACACCTTATTAACATGCTTGTCCTATCATTTCGATTGACTTTGTTCTTTGGCTGTAGCAGCCCATCGGCCAAATCATTCAATTTTTCGCGACCACAAAGTCCGCGTTCGACATAGGTTATCCCTCCCAGTTTCATTTGAAGATGTATAGCTTAGCGTATTCGCAAGTTTGCGTATTTAGAGAATATTTGTTCTCGTCTAGATTTGTAGTTATTTTTTTTGCATAGCTTAGTAAAGTTTTTTACAACGTTCAGGTATAGAGCTTTTTTACTGAGTCTTATAACTTAAAGTTGGAAAATTCATAATTAGTGTTGTAACGAATTGTGCACAAAGGACATGAAAAGGAGTGTTTTTTTTTTTTAATACAAAAAAAAAGGCTAAACTTTGAGCTTGTCGACAGCAAACACTCCATGCCGCTTGAAGCCTTCATTAGCAAAATTAATGAAATTACCTTAGAATGTTCGAGGATAAAATTCAAACTTTATCATTTCAACTGACTAATTTTTTGAAGTCTTCATCAACATCAACAGCCAAGCTAATCGTGCCAAGCATGGAGCAGTTTGTTTCTTTCTTGTTTGCCTTAACCTTTGCCTTAATAACCTTAAAGTCTTGTCAAATAGAAAGTAAATTGTAAAAAATCAAGGCGTACATGTGTCTGTGTTCGAAAAGGATCTAGGTGCCAGTTTTAGCTCGCGAAGAATGCATGATAAGAATAACAAAACAAAAGCTTAACTTACACTGATGTCAAAGTTTCTTTTTCTGTGACTTTTATCAGATGATAGTGAAAATCATGTCAACCACTTTCCGTTTTTCTAATCGCTATGGGAAAGTTTTCGATCTTCGAAGGCGTCTTCTTGAACGTTATGCGACCAATTGCCCAGTCATTAAGTAATTTAAGAAACGGGGAATGAAAAAAGTCGCGAATGTAACCTAATCGATCCCTAATTGAACGTTGGTAAAAAATATAAATAATTGGTAGTGTTCCTAAGGTCCATTTTTTTCGGTGACAAAACCCCTAGCCCTTCCTCCGGGGATCGATATAAAAAGAATGCTCACGATAACCTTGCTTGGGTTAAAGGTAATACTATGGTGATATATTGTATACACGATAATGTAAATTAAACGAACACCCCGAGCAGTCAATTTATTTAAAAAAGTTCCATTACTCACCGCATTTTGAGGTCTTTATTAAAGGCACATTGATAAAATTGCTGCAAAGATAAAAAAGGACTTTGTTTGTCGTTTGGTTTCTTTTTTGCTTTTTGAAAAATTTCAACTCATTTATATTTAATGTCTTTACTTATTCTTTATTTTTATATGCGTGTATTTTTTCTTTTTTCCTTTCAGTATTCGGAGCACGCAGCCAGTAGATCTACAGCTATAACTACACAAATGAGAGCAACATTAATATATTTAGCGCCTTTTTTGCATCCGTGTAAGAACGTTGTTCCTGGCATAGCACAAGTAAATGAACAAACAGCACATTCGCCGACACTGACAGCGATACAGGCACGAACGTCTATCGTAGTCAAGGCACAAGACGAAGGAACTGTAAAAAATATTCAAACACATGTGACCCGCAATAATGTCATAAATGATAACGGTGGCCGTAATACCAGACGTTGCAGTATGAGCGCCAGCAATAGCAGCTGTTGTCAGAATTTTTTCTATAAGCAGCATAACAGACAACAACAACAACAACAACAAGAACAACAGCAGCAGCAGTCGCAGCAAAAGCAAAAGCAACAGAAACAACAACTACAACTACAGTCGGTGAAGGAAGAGTTTTATGAAAATTATGAAATGCCTGCCTTAGAGACCACAACAACGTTATTTTCTAATGTAATAAGAAAACAAAAACAAGAGCAAAAAGAAGTGCAGCAACAAACGACCCAAGCGGTAGTAGTAGTAAAAGCCGTAGAAAATATAGTAGAAATACCAGAAGATAATTCAACAGCATACTATACGAACAGAAGTACAAAAAATTTACGTGAACGTGGTCACAGGATTATTCAAACACATACACAACTACAAAAACAAATGCAAACACATGGTCTCAATGCCAGCATTTTAAAACCATTTGCACAACCGTCACTACAACTACAACGAAAAACACCGTGTGGTCGTTGTCTAGCTATTGATAACTGCAATAACGGTAATATGCGAATGGACACGACCGAAAGCAACAACAATGACATCTTTAATGCCACGTCATCATTATTATTGTCAAGATGTCATTGTTTAAATAATACGTTTAGCAATGCGGAGGATCAACTGCAACAACTACAATATTTACAAAAACAACATCCAAACATCAATTCAACGGCAATAATTGATGATGAGAACGCTGACGTTGATGGTGTTACATGTGGTTTAATATTAAAGAATTCCATTTATAATTCCCGCGACCAAAATCAACAAATGCCGTCACATTCAGTGACGGTAGCGCAGCAAAAACAAAAGCGCCAATGTAGCAACAGTAACAATTGCAACAACAATAATAACAACAACAACAACAACAGTTCTCTGACATCAACTAACTCGTACACATCCTCCTCTTCGGTATCATCCATTTCCATAATACCATCAACTTCATCAACATTTTTTTTATCATCGCCAACACCATCATCATTATCACTATCACCATTATCATCATCATCATTATCATCATCATCATCATCGCCATCATCCTCATCCTCATCAACACCAATAACTTATTCCACACACACAACCCTCTACAATTCGCATACAACGACAACGCTTGAATGTACTCGTAGGTGCTTTAGGAAAAATCGTGATATTAATGGCATCGAACTACAAAATCCCAATTTGGCGGTAGTAGCAGGTGTAAGCGATTATGTGATCAATGGTATTAGGAATGCTTTAGAACAAGAAAAAAGAAATCTTCCTAGTTCAACTTTATCCACATCAACATCAACATCAACACCAACATCAACGTCATTCGTATCCACATTGCCATCATCGTCATTATCTGTTTCTTTATTATCGACATTATCATTACTAGTATTAGGATCATCATCGGCTGTAAAAAGAGGGTTAAACGATAGAAAACCGGCGGCGCATTTAAACATATGGTTGCAAAGGATGACAGTTGTACTTGGCTGTTTACACTTAAACAAAACGGTTTCGGTTTCAAAGTGGTTGTTAATGTGGCTGTTATTGACTATGTTTTCTTCAACGGCCCACGGATGGGTGGGACGTAATGACGGTAAGTTTTCGCTACAACTTTTTGCTATACACAATACGCACAAAAGCTACGCGCACTTTAGAATGAATTAGCGAAAGTTCCACCTAAAGCATATTTTGAATGTGAAATCGTGTGCATAGTGTGCGATGAATTCTGTTTAGGGAATTAATTTTATGCGGAACCGACGATATTGGGGCAAATAAGTGTATAGGCCTATGTATAATATTACCAACATCCGAGATTAGATTTTATGCAGTTCATGAACTATGGACATATTTAATCTCGAAAGACATCTATTGGGGCAGGAATCAGATATTCTTCTTCTTTCTTTATGCGATGACATCATTTGAGATAGAAAAGGGATAAATTACGATCAATAATCTCACATCGATTTATAATTTGGTGCGTGCTTGCTCAACCAGCATAAAGTTCGAAGCGAAAATTCTTCGAGCCGAATAATAAATACGGTTAGGGTTATTTGAGATTTGCCCCAAGGTCTTATGTGAAGTACATGTAGAATTGTTTGTCGCTGCAGACAATAGAAAAAGCAAAACGAAATTATAAACCATGCATAATGTGGTCTTTACAAATTTTTAGAAAGTATCACATAGCAAAACCACAGTTCAATACTTCTTCTCCTTTCGAAGATCGCGAATGAAGTGCTTTTAACGCTGCATTAAAAGAACGATTTTTAACTGCTGCCGTTTAATGACTTACGCACACATGTACATGGAGGCATTGGAAAGGAATTTTTTAAACACTAAATACACGATTCTCACATAGCGACTCACTTAACACTAAACAACACATAAAGTGTTTGTTCTTTAGTTTAAAGCAAAAAAAAAAAAAGGAAAAAAAAAATTAAATCTCTTTTGTACACATCTTTGCTTTAACATATAGATTAGGTATGCAAGAGCACACAATCCCATGTACACGTAATTTGTATTTGTATGACAATAAACCACCACCACCGTGTGGTCACCCTCCGCTTATAGAAGAACTTAACAATAAGAGGCTTTGACTCTACGCAGTAGGCTCTAAGCAGTACATTTTTATTGCATTCTCATTTTGAGAACCACCCGTCTGTCTGTGCGCGTTTTTTTTTTTAATTTTTATTTATACGTACATTTAAAAAAGCACAAAAACATAAAATGTTATTTAAATTTCTTTTATCGCTTTTTTCCTTCCGGTTATATATAGAAATTACAATACAATCAATGGTTGGCACACACTTGAAGGTCATGTATGCATTCGTTCAGTGTTCTATTCATCCAACGGTCACATTCAATTGTGCGCTTAAGTGTGGTCGTTTCAAATCGTTTCAAATAAAAAACCCACAAATCTTAATAAAAACCGTAAGAGAAACTCATAAACTTTAATACAATGGCCGTAATTAGATTGTTTAGAATTTATGATTGCGCCGATTCTTTTTTAGGCCACATGAATATGTTGTATATTTTACTTATTTAGACTGGCCTCTCATAACGTAGAAGAAAAAATCAGATTGTCAAACAATGCTCCTTTTCATGACAATAATTGCGTGTATAAGTAAAACTGCGCTCAATCCACAAGTGATTATCGTCAGCGATATTCATCAGAACCATTAGGATGTTTGGTCCAAAAATAGACCCTATCGGTTTACTAATACTAAAGTCCATGAGTAGCGACAACACTCCAATTACAATTTACATCCAATTTACTTGAAGGCGCTCTATCATGTTCTTTACCCAATCGCAAACATCTATCATTGTCCCCATAATCACACGTTAATCCCCCCTAATTACATTAGCATAAGGGAAGTGTTGTTTTACAATACGAAGCAGAGTTTCCCAAAATGTGTCTAGTTGCACGCTTACATTCAGTGCGTTTAAGTATGGACTGACAGAACGAAATTGAACGCGGACAGTTACGATCTATTCATTATATTATTCGTACTGTTTAATAAATGGATTCAGCGGTTTGGAAAAGGGGGCCTCTACCAATTGTAGCAATCCGTTGCCTTAGTTGATAGATGAGCTATTACCGCGAGTTTGCGTAACATTGCCACCAAAAATGGAGAAGCAGAAAGTTCAGACATCCAATGCATGTTCTTAGGCGCGCAAATGCAGAGTTAGTCGATCTTAAGTTCACGTACGAATGCGAATTCAACCGACTTGCATAAAATTTATAACTTATATTTAACAAAATCTAGGATCGCTTCAAGACAACGCTATCCCTTTACTGGCGATAGGAATATAAGCAAAAATAGATCTATTACACAAGATAGATATAAATAAAAATATGAATGGATTTCATTAAGTGTTGTTTTGCATTTTGTTTTTTTTTTCGTTTTGCTTTATTCAATTACTAGTGCCCACGAATTGTACATTTCCTGCGCGTTGGGAAGGCTCATGGTTCCTATCTGGCTATCAGCAATCCATACACATCAAAGGTTCACAATTCAGTTATCGCGGGAGATGTGCCGCCTCGGATGGTAACAAGTATTTAATCGTTGACGAGTAAGTTTTTACCATAACCAATTTTTTTGATTACATTTTGCGTTTTCCATTACTACCCACTTCCCTTACGTTTTCGAACAAAAAAAAATTTAAGCCACGAATCGAGCACACAATTGTCTTCGAATTTTAATTGATTACAGTCAAGTGTTAAACCAAGCTAAAAAGCGATTTTCTCCCTTTGATTTTTTCCCCCTTTTTATTTAGAACATAATTTAATGCTGAGGTAGTATATGTACGAAAAAAAAGAGAAAAAACTCTGAATGAAACTAAAGTAGCTTTTTTTTTTATTTCAATTTCTCGGCAAAAGGAAAAAACAATATATTTAGTTATTTTTTGTAATTTGATTTGTCAAATATGACGGCTGGGATGTTGAGAAAAAAATGATAAAACAGCGGAGTGAAACCTATAACAAATTCCAGACCGAAAAACGCATTTACAGTAAATGCCTTTAGAACGAGCGCGAGATACAGTACATACGGTCAACTTAAATAAAAAAAAAACAAATATTTTAAAAAATAAAAAAAGAAAGAACAGGAAAACAATAGTAGACAGAATTCTCCGGAACGTATTTATTTCATATACATAAAAGTCCACCTGACCACCAACTAACTAACCGAAGTTGACTGCAATTAATATATGACCGGACTTAGGTTGACGACCTACTATTAACGTCATTATTACTGCTGCGACATAACCATCTACCACTACAACAACAACAACTACTACTACTACTACTGCTATAACCGAACGAGCTAATGAAAATGAAATGTGTATATGTTTACGAGTAGAGTCGTTAAAAAAAAAAAAAAAAAAGCATAAAAAAAAAATAATGAAAAATGCAAAGGAAACCAACCAACCATACAACAAACTAACCAACCATCAACTCAACTAACTAAGCCAACACCAACTTTTGCGATTGGGTGCAGTACGACTAAACGAAAGTCATTTGGTTTTTTAATTATTTCTTCTTGTTTTGTTTGTTATATATTTCTCCATTCATAAAAAAATGGAATGAAGACAGCAACAAATAAATTCTAAGCATATAGTATGGATTTAATACAATGTCGTGTCTCTTTTTATTGATTTAATATCCGTAATGGATCACATGTATCGAATAGCTAGCTGGCCTCCTTTTATCTATGTATTGTAATTACCTATATAAACAAAACAACTTTAGGGACTCTCGTTGTTTTATTAACTCTTATTAATTATTTGTCATGTGCAATCATCTTTATTGCTTCGGCACTAATTTCTTAAATGCGTTTAATTACATCAAAAACGTAATACTATAGCTTAAAGTGAAATTTACTTTACGAAAAAGAGAGAGAGAGAGAGAGAGAGAGAGAGAGAGAGAATATTTGAAATTTCAGCTTAAATTACTTCTTATGGTCATAAAATGAAATAATGCTAATGAAACCGTGCGCATAGCTTGAAATAGTAAGCTCACGATACTCATTAATAGCATGCAGTGGATTTCAGAGCTTATATGGCCTGAATCGAAGTGTGCATAGCATACTCTTAAGGAGAAGCAGTAAATGCTAAAGTTACCTAAAGTGAAAACAACACCACTTGTTCTACCCAGCCATACTAACACCACAAGCATTGCAGTTATTCCACTCTGATTGAATCTTTCTTGCGCAATTATTTTCAAACGTTCTGCACACTTAATGACGGTTAAGAACGTGAGTACACATGCTGAACGTATAAAAAGTTTATTCAACTAATCTGATACACTAAAAGTCTCGAGATGTGAAAAAAATCTAAAAAACACCCGATCGGACTCTGATCCACTCATAACATTCAGACAGACAGAAGCTCATGTGGAAGAATAAGAAGAGGCCTTCTTCGCACCAATTTAAATGGCCATGCCATAGAGTCGCCCTCATAATGCGATCGACCATTTCCATGTTACATAAATCCGTATTGCACGGCCTACTTAGTTTATACAAAGACGGTTTTCACGCCCACTATTATTGTTTCCATAATTAATTTGAGCGGAGACATAGACTCAGAGTAAAGCCTTAAAGCTTTATTGAAAACTTTGCGGCACTTGAGATTTGAACCCACGACGATTCAATTGTTGGTCGAGATCTTCAGCCCACTCAGTCAGTCAGGCGAATGGCCTTGAATAAGGTCTTTTATCTTTCCTACCTTTTTTACTTCAACGAAAATAAAAGCGTTACGGCTGCTTCATTGTTGTAGAATGTTATATACGAAGACAAATCCGTCTTATCTGAAGACATGTTGTAGGGCAGTCTACTGTAAGTGCATACGTTCATTAGCAAACTTTGCATAAGAAGATAAACTGAACTCATTCAAGCCGGTGCAACGTAAGAACAATTATTTTCGAGGAAATTCCGCATAAAGAGTTCTCATCGAAATTAGAAATTTTTTAACGCAAGAATTTCTTCCGCACAAAGACGATGCAGTTTATACACCAGAAAAATATTTCAATTTGCTTAGTGAAAGGAATAAGTTTTTTCAGCAATTACTCCGAACATGCCAAGCTTAGAAGATCGCTACTCGCCGATTGACACAATTTTAGAAACATTTCCGTAGATGGATATTACTTTCTTGAAAATTTTCAAAATCCTCTTGCTGCCACCTACAAACTACGCCGGCTGGTTCGAAAGCTACGCCTTCTATTTTGTTGAAATATGAATATGTCAAGCGTAAAAGCGATTTGTATAGGCGTCAAACGGCTTTACAAATTTCATATTTATTTGTTCTTCGAATATACGAAATACTCTTGATGTGAGAGATTTGTTTAAGTTTACCGTACGACAACGTGAAGAACCACTCACAGCATATATTAAATCCATACTCTGGAATATGTTTAATTTTTCAATTATAGTTTTCTTTCCTTTGTTTTTAATTTTACTTCATGTGTTCTTTGGGTTTCTTAATGATGATGACTCTTACTGCATAACATTAATTGTACAAATATTTCATATTGGTTTACTCATCCGATTACTTTGGGTGTAGAAGGCAAAGACTAAAAAATTAAAAAAATAAAAACGAAAAAAATGCAAATAAAAAGAGAAGGAAATATGTAAGAAAAAAAAAAAAAAAAAAAAAGAAAAAAGGAATTTATCGTGCAAAAATAAATCTTATAAGTTTGCGTGTTATTTTGTGCTTAAGAAGAATTCAATTTTACTTTTTATTCCATTTTTGCTTTCATTCATTCTATGATGTATGGCGTAAAGTGTTTTTTCCACTTGTATTTGTTTTCGTTTTTCGGTTGTTTATCCAACACAACTAGTACTACTGCTACTACTGCTACTACTACTACTACTACTACTACTACTACTATACTATATACCCCTTATTAAGCTCGGAGAAATACGCTACTTTTTTATGTTTTTGTTTTTTCTCGTTTAATTTCTGGCATTGTTTGCGTTCTTTTCAATAAAACTTCTTTTCATTTGTCTCACATAATGACCATAAAGTGTAATTAAAAAGTGTTTTCAAGCCGAGAAAAAATGATTAATTTTCATATTTTCGTCTTCATTCATTAACTCATAACGGAGAATGTGATATTTTGCTTATTTCTCTCTTTTACGTTAACTCCACGCTATGTTTAATTTCATCATATGTATTTTGTATGGATTTGTGTTTTCATTTCCAGTGATTTTAAAAGCAGTTTAATGCATTCACTATATTCAGAATTTTTCGTTTACATATTTCATTTTACGGACAGTTGGTTACTTTCAGTTGTAGCTGTTATGTGATTTTCAGTTAGTTTTCGTATATATTGTATGTGTTTGATGTGTCATATTTACATATATATATATAAAAAAGAAAAATAAAAAAAAAACCAAAGATTAATTATTACTGAAATGAAAAATATAAGAAAATCTCATAGAATATTTTGCAATTTCTTTCAAAATCATAAATAAAGCCGCCCTTGAATTTTGCTTTCATATTTAAACAAAGAAACTAGACAATCCCTTAAATACTCCTTTCTTTCATTATTAAAATTAATTTCTTTATTAAATTAAATTTCTCTTCTCTTTACTTAAACAAATTCTTTTAAATTTCATTTTTAATATAATTTTTTATGATTTCCTTTCATTCATTGAAAATATATTTACCTAAGTAAAATCGTTGAAAATTGAAAAAAAGGAAAAACTCTAAAGGATAAAAATATACAAAACATTCCAATTAGTTATCAAGCTTTTGCTAATTGTCCTTAATCACCACCATCTCGACTAGTGGATATTCATTTCCCCTAGTACCCCTAGAATCATATACGTAAATATATTTATAATTCCGTTAGAAGAGCATATATAAGCGATAAGCGTGAGGGTACGAGTCGATTTATCATTACCTTTCGTATAACGTTCGTCTAGCTGCGCAAAGTCGAAAAAAATGAGATAAAAAAAGTACGTTCACTTAGAAACGGAATCGATCGGCCATTGAGAACCAGCAATGACAAAAACGAGGATGCTGCTATTAAATAACAACAATTGTTATCACAATAGTTCAGATCTCTAACAATTCCGATTTAACATTCGCTGCAAATATGCGGCGGCAATTAAAAGCTTCCTAAGAATGCATGTAACGAATAATGCAACGGGTGAATGTAAAAAGTGCGTTTAGCGCCTTATGTCGACTTTTTTCAAATTTGCTCAAGCTTGAAAGCCTTTGTTCTTCGCAGAGGTGAAACCTATGGATTGGAAGATTGGTAGGCAATTTGATGCTCAGAATTCAAGTCTGAAAGTCTGTCTTTGGCCTGTTCTAGCGACTGTTAAGATCGCGAAAATTGGGATGGAAAGTTAATATTATAGGTATGGTTCTAGTTGGCTATAACTAAACTGTATGTGATCGCAATAGACATCCAGTCATAAAAAATGTACGCAGAAGAAGTTATGATGCAAAGTTAATTTCTCTTGCGTGATTAGCACGAACCTAATGAATCTACTCTATATATGTAGAGGTTTGCGATTGTAGGCATTTTTGTTGCTTTAACGTGTCTTCAGGAATGTTTTGTGCATTACTTTATCCTCTCGCAATGAATGGAAATAAATAAATTTTGTGATCACTTTTTCTGGAAATGCGTATATCTTAATAAAATTTTATTTACATATCTATACATATATATTAGCTATATCCATTAAAGAGAGAAGAAAAATGGAAACACTAACATTAACAAAAAAAAAAAAAAAAGAAGCATTTTTAGAGAATATATTTTTAAAAGTATATAATTTACTTACTTACTTTTTTGTTCTTTGGTTTGCGTGTCCACAATGAATATGACATAATTGTGTTTGTATTTCTTTTATACTTTGCCACCAAAAAACGAAATCTCATGCTATAAATATTATGACATGAAAAAAATTAATGAAACAATAACAAATCGTAACGTAATGCGATATTTTAGGAAAGGATGTCATCGATGCCTGGTTATCTATGAAAAGCATAAAAATGTACTGCAGTATAAAGAAAGTGAGTGCGAAGGTGATAGTATGTATATGCATCAATCGAATCCATCCGCAATGGCGATGCGTAGCGTTTTAAATCAAAAGAACAGTGATCATAGGGGGGGAGCTCATCCCAATTTGAACGGGCATTCAAGATTATCCTCATCGGATCAATACATTATGAGATCCAATGATGATATGAATGATTGTAAGCATTTTTTATTACTACTACATATCTAAATAAAACTCTGAAACAAAAACGAAAAAAAGAAAAATATATATATATATATATATTTTTTTTTATTTTTCTTACATATTCTTATTTGAAAATTTCATTTTATTTACCATTTAATTTATAAAATGTTTGCGTTCGTTTAAGTTTAAGTATTTTCCTTTCGATTATTTAACATTTAATTTACGTTTTCTCGTCTTCAAGATAATGATTTCATTTCATTTCATTTAGTAATTTTTTAATTTCAAAAATCTTCGAAACTCATAAAAACACATCATTTCATTTCGATATTTTATTTATGTATAATTATTATTATTTTCTTCTTTTTTTTTTCTAAAGCAAAAAATACTGCTTTTCTCCTACTATTACGATTATTTTTGTTCATTTTGAGTTTTTTTTTTTCAAATTTTTCAATTTATTTATTAATAAAAGACACCTGAAAAAGGAAAATAATCCTAAAACAACCAATTCTGTAAATAGTTTTATGCATTTCTTTTAAGCTTAACCCATTGAAGCGTTATATATTATTATTATTATGTTTGCATTCATTTTAACAACAACAAAAAAAAAAAAAAGAAAGTCAAGGGTCCTCTTCTTTTCTAATTAAATAATTTATTATTACTCGGTAGAGAGTAAAAAAGCAAAAAGAAAAAGGAAAGAAAAAATCTGAGTGAAATGTTGAAAAACAAAAACACTCAAACGAGAACCATTTTCTAAGCGTAAACGGAAATACTCTCACTTTGAAATGAAAAGAAGAAATTTAAGCAACGTATTAGCGGAATAGCAGATTAACCCGTCCCAACTTTTGTATAATTTTTTTTTTTTTTTTTTCAAACTAAACTTCGAAAAACCAAAGATTCCTCATACAAAGCTAAAAAAGTTTTTTTTTTTTTTTTTTTTTTTTTTTTTTTTTTTTTT